GGGGGTTTTCATCACCCCTCAAATGACCATCATAAGGAGCCCTTTTAGCATCTTCCATAGATTCATATCATGGTGATATATTTCGACTTCCTTCGCAGCAGCCCAGGAATCTCTTATTGTCAGGCAGGGGCCACGAGGACTCTCAAGCCGACTTGAACAGAATGCACACCTGGCTCTTGACGACGAGATTGCACGCGCCGTCCCGTTAGCGCAGACGTTGCGTTCCTTCGGATATCTTTGGAGATTGCGCCCGAACAAGATGAGCCAGGACCAGCTGTTGAAGCTGTGGCAGTCTTCTAAGAAAGCAAACTCATTCGACGCCTTTATGTCCCACACCTGGTGGACCCCGGGATATCAGAAGTTTATATCTCTATTACTCCGCTCCTACTGGCACTACGTCGTGGTAGCCACGATTGCGGCAAGCGCGGTGATCATGATCATGTATAGGCTGGGCATCTTGCCCATGCCTTTGAAATTTGAATCACACTACGAACTCTTCCCCAGAACCATTCCCTGTGGGCCATGGGGCACACTGTTTACATTCCAGGTCTCGCTCTGTGCCCTGCTGTGCGCTCCCCTCCTGTCCTGTCGGAGCTTCGATATTTTCTTCGATGTTGCATGCATTCACCAAACGGATCCGGTGATGTGCGAACGCGGCATATATGGTATTGGAGGCTACCTTACCGTTTCCAAAGAGTTACGCATTCTGTGGTCTGTGCCGTACTTAACTAGATTCTTGCCCGTTCTTAAAAGTATGTTTTTGCTTGCATAGAAATTTCTTCAGAAGTAAAGGACTGTTTTTATCGTTGTGTAAAGTAAGCATCTCCATGTACTACCCAGGATTATGGTGCATATTCGAACTCGCTGGATACCGCAGGGCCAATCCAACAGGCAAGATTGTTTTCCAGCCGCTGCTGGTTGCTGGGGGTACTTGGAAATGTTTTTTTGTTGGCTATGAATATTTCGAAACACCTGAAATCATTTTTTTGCTGGGGTTCCAAGTTCCAAGTTCAGTATAGGTTGAGCGTGACTTCTGTGTTCTCTGGGCCTGCGTTTACTTGTACATGTGCCTCAGGAGAACTTGGAAATAGTTCTCCATTTTTTGCTTACTATGACAATGCAAATTTTACCAATCCCCGCCCCCTAACATTAAACCCCCAAAAAATCCTTTTTGTGGTATATTAAAATGTATTGGCAGTATTTAATATTAGGGTGGGTGGAGGGGTTTGATATCAGGGGCAAGGGATAAGGATTCCAAATTCAATCTACCCCAAACCCTGAACCCTAGACCCTATAAACCCTAAAACCCTACTCCCTGAAACGTTAGGTGCACCTTCCACATCATGAACACAGATCAATGTACCCCAAACCCTGAATCCTATACCCTAGACCCTATCAACCCTAAAATTGTCCTAACACCCTAAATCCCTACCCTAAACCCTAAACCCTATAACCCCTAAAACCTTAATCCCTAAACCCTAAGCCCCTAAATCCCTAAACCCCTAAACCCCTAAACCCTAAACCCTAAACCCTATACTACTATCCAGACCCACCCCTAGGTGCGCCTTCCACATCATGAATACAGGCTCAGCCTGGAGAGGTTTTTTCGCCTTGTCGGCCATAGGCGGCATTTCTGCTCTGCTCCTGGGTTTAGGGTTTAGGGTTTAGGGTTTGGGGTTTAGGGTTTAGGGTTAAGGGTTTAGGGTTTAGGGTGTAGGGTTTAGGGTTTAGGGTTTAGGGTTAAGGGATATTGTCCTACTAAAATGGAGAATCTAAATGGAAAAGATCATGGACAATTAAATGGAAACTGGTGGATACAGGGATTTAAGGAACTTAACTTAAGTCATTATATTGGGGCAACGTTATTAATTAATTACTTGTTATACACCCGCTTATGGTAACTTAATTGAAGTTCCTTAACAGCAGCCCAGGCTTCCTGGCATCCATGCAATTCGGAGAGGCTTCCAAGAGCAGGAGCGCAGCCTTCAGGGAATGGCAAACTTTGACCTTGAGCTCGTTTCGTGTTCCAGTGATTTCGACAAGCAATTTATTCTCGCGGCGGTGAGGGAGTGGTATGGAAGCACCGATGCATTTACACAATATGTTCGCGGTCCTTTGCGGGATGAGCTGGTGCAGGTGGTCGCCGAGATGCGCGCTCCCATGTCATACTGTTTGCTGGCCTTTTCGCCGGCGGCCGGAATTTACGCAGACGTTCTGGGGTCTCTCTGGCTCGCAGGTGCATCCAATGAGATGCTCTTGGCCTACGTTCTGGGACAGGTGCTGTCGTCCTTCTTGCTTGGCATGGCTCAAATAAAGGTTTTGTTCATCCTCGCGAGGCGCTATTCTCAACCCAGATTTCTGAGCCGCACCATGGACTACATGCAGAGCGGTGGCGTGTTGCTTGTCTGGGTCCTGTTCGTTGCTGCCTCGTTTCCGAGAAACGAAGTGTACTACAAGTTTGGTGTTCCTGGTGCCGTGGCTGCCCTTATCGTCTCAATGCTCGTCTTTATCGCCATGTTCTTTCGCGACTTCCAGCGATTCTGGGGCTAGCTGCATAGTGTGGATTTGAGACCGGGGCCCTGCAGGCCAAAGGCCTGAACGGTTTGCCGCGGTCAAGAACCCCCTCCCACCCCCAGGCTCTCTTTCATCTGAAGTTTCATCTGAAGCACACATTGCACAAACGCATCAGTGCAGTGAAAGTCACACTGCTTGAGCTTCCAGGAATCACAGGCAGAACCCCAAACCTTTCCCAAAGGGTCCCAAGTACCTATATAGGGAATGTTTACGTACCCAAACTAGAAGCGAAGCTCCTATTGCAGAAGCCATACTGTGCACCATGTAGGTGCTTTGGGCCCTGTGGGTTTGGGGTCACCCTAAACCCTAAGCCTTTGGGGTTCCCGAATTCCCTTTATTTCGATTCTGCCACGCAGGGGGAGATTGTCCCAAGGCGTCTCAGCGCTTGGATGCAGTCAATAGGCTCGCAGATAGGTTTTAAGGTTGAGGATTTATTGTTGAGGGTTTCGGACTTAGTCCAGTTAGGGTGTAGGATTTAGGAAGAAGAATTCTCAGGATTTGGGGTTTGGGGGTTTTGGACTGCGTGATTCGATTTATCATCGGCTCAGCTATCATGGAAAGCCCAAGGGCGCTCAGGAAAGGTTTCTACCAGTACTATTGTGTTACGAGGGGCCCTTGGCGTCCCTAAACCCTAAACCTTAAAGCCTACTGGGGAACTGAAACCCCTGAACCTTTAACCGATTGTTCGATTTTTGGTTAAAGACTTTCAGCAGTTGAAACTACACAAGCTCTAATATAAGTCCCAAGTCATTTGAGACGGCTTGCGGGGCTGTTGGAGTTTCAGGTTAGATGAGGTACGGGGTTTTTGAGTCGTGGCACAGGTTTAGAGGGCCAGTCTGGGGCCTCCAGTTTAGCATTTAGGGTTTAGGGTTTAGGGTTCAGGGTTTAGGGTTTAGGGTTTTAGGGTTGAGGGTTTAGGGTTTTAGGGTTTAGGGTTTAGGAGTGCAGTCTCGGCTTGCTCGGCGATGTAGGTTTCTAGAGGGGCTGAGTCAGAAACGTCTAGGACACTCTTCCTAGAAGAGCTCCCCTTTGAGGTTGTTGAGGTTGGCCTACAAAACTGGAAGCCCTAAACCCTAAACCATTAGGCCAAGACTCCTAGAAAGGCTTGGATGGTATTTGCCACCTAGGCAAGCATGTTCATGTCGTCTGCAGAAGAGCTACTGCTTATGGACGAAATCTTGCACAACCGGTCCCTAAAGCGCTGTAGCCCCCAGGACTTGAGGGCTTCCACTTGGTTCAGGATTTCCTACATCAGCAGTAGATGAGCCACAGCCTAAACTCCTTAAAGGGGGATCTATAGGGGATCATATAGGGGAGTATTATAGGGGCTTTTAAGGGGGATTACCAGGAGTTCAGACTATAGCTCATAATAATATGGAGATTCCTTCATAAGCTTGCATAGGTTTCACCGTGCGCTCGCCTCCAGGAATGCTAAAGCTAAATCCAAACCTCGAGATTCGAGCCCGTGGCTCAAACTGAAGGCCTTCATCATTATTACTACTACTATTGTTATTACCATTACTATTACGATCAACAGGATCCTCATTATGGTTATTGCTATTATCATCATTATTATTACCATTATTATTACTATTCTCATTATTGTTGTTAGTACTATTACTATTATTGCTATCATGCAGTCATCCTGACCGTCACCAATCAGATACAACATTGAGTGTGAAAGATGTCTGAACGCCCCATGACGTTTCGGGTATCCTTCAGGTGGAACCCCTACTCAGTACTAGTGATTGCAAGGGACAATAAGGATCATATTAGGACCCTCGTATATTCTTATTGATTATACCGTTATTACAGGGCGGGGGGGCGTCCTAAGGTATCCTATGCACTTGAGCGGGCTTGCAACCTTCTGCTTTTCACACGACACCGCAACATTTCTGCGATCCGCATAACCCTAAACCGTAAACAGGCCACTCATGTCCATGAAGTATCCCCCCTGCCGCAGACCCGCCAACCCCTACACCCGAAGCTTGCTACCTAAATTCACCCCCCTCCCCATCTCAATCGTAGACTCTACGTCGTAGACCCTTAGGGTTTGGGGGTTTAGGGTTTAGACTCTTCTCCGTAAACCCTAATCCCTAAACCCTAAAACCCAAACCCTAGACCCTAGCCCTTGAACCTTAATCCCAACACTCTAATCACTTTGCTCTACATGTGGCCAACTATATCCACCTCACCGGGCCTCACCGCCCTTCGACTCAAGCCCTTAATCTGGGTTGCTGTGAAGAAGCTTAAATTATGTTACCATGCTGGGTTTAGGGTTTAGGGTTTGATGCATGAAATCTTGCGCCACCTAGGGGCCCCAAATTACTGTAATTCCCAGGACTTTAGATACCTGAGGTGGTGCAAGATTTCCTCTATCAACAGTATTACTGGTATATATAAAGAGATTAGGGGTTTCGGGTAGCCACCGTGTGGGTGTATAGTATTTAAGACGGGTTTCCTTACTCTAGTAACTTCGTGTAAGTTTCTTAACAGCAGCCCAGTAATGGTGGTACACATAGAAATGACCCTAAACTGGCTGACTCTCAGCTTGCGAAACTACTTTGAGATGAACAGCTAGACCCCAACACACCTAACCCTAAATCCCTCCAACATCCTTAAACCCTAAACCATATAATCCCTAAACCCTAAACCCCTAAACCCCTAAACCCTAAACCCTAAACCCCAAACCCTAAACCCTAAACCCTATAGTATCAGCCTGTGCAGGGCAGCTTCCAGCCGATAAAGGGACAATTTTC